ACAGTATTTTAGGCAACCTTCGGTTGGCAGCAGTCGGTCGTAAAAAAGTGTTTGTTAGAAAAGATTGATGAGTGTAGTGACTAATTTTTTTCTAATCGTTAGTTTAAGAAGGAGAGAATGTTACGCACACTAGCACTAGTAGTGGTCTGTTGAGGTAATTTAGGATTATTGCGGTTGAGAATTGCCGTACTTAAACTCCCTCCTCTCACCTGCTCCAAATTATCCTCGTACTTGCTGCCACTGTAATTGGAATATATTAAAGTATTGAATTAAATTAATCTATATACAAATATATATTGAAATAAATAAATATATATTGAAGGAAATTTGTAATGTGTGATGAGCTTTAAAATAATTAAATATGCAATGTAATGTTTTCTTTTCTTATCATTTTTATTCATGTCATAAATAATTGCAAAAAAATAAGTGCGTTGCAAAAATTTGGACTGGAGCTTTGTGTATTAATATTTACCGTGTTATACAATTTTGTTTTTAATTATATAAGATATATTTTTTTAAGAAAAAATATATCACAGTCTACATATACATATTTTTTTTACTAAACCATAGAAAGATTTTACACACGCACGCACTACTCTATTATATATAAATAATTATCATATATAAATAAATTTAACAATCTTCTGTTATTATGAATGATGAAATTTTATAATAAATTACAATCTAATGTACAATACCTATTTTTTGTTGTTTCGTACGTTGCATTACGCGATTGTGCAAACATATCAAATTCATCGCTATCTCCTTCTTTTTTCTCCTTTTGTCTTGCATTTTTCTCTACACCTTCAGCCGCATCTAATATTTAAAATACGATAGAATAGTATCAATCTTGAGAAAAAGTTCACACGAACGTGATACAGAGAAAATATATGAGAAATATATAGAAATAGCACTTTTTAAATAATATTTAACACAATTTTGCACTGTGCAATTTTACATTAGATTAATACAACTTTGACTCACCAAGTTCATTCATTTGTTTTGTTAAATTATCCACATCATCAGATAAATCTATAAGTGACTCCGCTTCTCGTTTAGTAAGAGTTTGAATCGATTCAGTATTCGGTGGTTGTGCAATTGTCTGGGCTAATATAGTGCTCGCCGGTACTTGCATTTTATTCTTCGTATAACGCGTATAACGAAGAAAGAGATTATTTAATTCATCATTAATGCGTAATAGTTCTGCTGTCATTTCATCGTGGGCCAATTTACCAATTAAATCGACAACACGTTCTTGCATTGCTTTACATGTCGAATGAAGTTCCTACAAATAATTGTTTAGACATGGAATTATAACATGAAATTTATATATTGGAATTTACCAAAACAATTATACGAAAATAAGGAAAAATTTGAAAACATGAATAAAAACGGAGCAAGACTTTATTCAATAAATTTATAGAAACTAATGAGACACACATATAAAAGATTCCTACGTTCAATAACTCAAGATCCGCAGAATCTGGTTGTTGCTTGCAACTTTGATCTGGACTTGTAAAATATGCCAACATTTCCGATAATACGCGCATATTTCCTTGAACAACATCGAGTTCACTTTGTAATTTGGCCAATTGTTGTTCGCTTAATTGAGTTAACTGGCCAGACTGTGACTGTGTTTGAGAAGGTAAATGTTGCGTTCCCAAAGACGCGGGTTGCTCATTTGTAGCCAGACTTGCCGGAATCTGCTCTGTTTCAGGTACACTCTATAAAAATATTATTGACAAAAAGAAACAAAATTATTTTCAGAGATACAAATGGACCAAATATACGGATAGCGCAGATAATAGTTTCATCTCAACCGATAGTATCTTACTCTTTCCGGAGTGATAATTGGTGCCATAGCATCTAGATCGGTCATTGGGAACTGTATGCCCTTTATCTTTAATTCTTGATAAACTTGCACAACACCTTGAGTGTGCGGCTGATGACGGAATGTATCTGCCCAAGTTTGGATTAAACTTAAAACTTTCTCTTGAACTGCCGTCGGTGGTTCATTTTTGGGACCGATTAATTTAAATAAATCTTGCACAAACTCTCTCGAACAAGCAAGAGCATGAAAACGTTTCCCACAATTTTTCACACACGTTTCCAATACCTATTATATATACAAATTATATTATATCGCACAGCCACTTAGATTATAAATTAATAAACATAAATATGCTCATATTCACAACATTACAGTATTTTCCTAGTGATTTCATCAAGAATACATTGCACACTTAAAAATGTAGTTGTAGGTATAATAATATTGACAACTGTGTCAATCGACGTGGCACTAATCGTGTAAATTGTCCAAACCAAAACTGTCAAGTGGCACTTGATTAAAACGGCACTTACTTATTATATTATTGTTACAACAATTCACATGGCTGATGCGTCAAGTACTCAATTAAAGCAAACTATTATAGATATACTTTGTTACACTGGACATGATTCTACATAAGCAGTATCATTATGATCTATAATACTAACGGTA